TAATTTTTATCTATTGCAGTGCATACACAAGTACAACTGTCAAAATGTGCAAAAGGGGCCAGCCTGTGGCTTAGCGGTTAAGTGCGCGTGCTCCACTACTGGCGGCCCAGGTTCAGATCCTGGGCACGCACCGACGCACCACTTGTCCAGCCATGCTGAGGCGGCATCCCACATACAGCAACTAGAAGGATGTGCAACTATGATGTACAACTATCTACTGGGGCTTTGTGGAGAAAGGGGGGAAAAGAAAAAGGAGGAGGATTGGCAATAGATGTTAGCTCAGGGCTGGTCTTCCTCAGCAAAAAGAGGAGGATTGGCATGGATGTTAGCTCAGGGCTGATCTTCCTCACACACACAAAAAAAATGTGCAAAAGATCATACAGTAAAATTCTTTCTTCCCGCTCCTGTTCCCCCCAAATTAGTTTCCCACCCTCGAGGCAACCACACACTCATTTCTTATGCATTTTTTCAAGGATATTAATATGCATATATACCAGTACATATATATGTCTGTATATATGCATATTAATATGTATATAATTAATATAGGCTTTTAAAAAATTTGAATGATAGTATATAATATACACAATTGTGCTGCTAGAGCTTTTTTCACTTAGTAACATATGTTGAAGAGCTTTCTCTGAGCATAGTTATAGAGTTGCCTTTTTTAATAATGACTACATAGTATTCCATTGTAAAGATGTATCATAATGTATTTAATCAGTCTTTTATTGGACATTTGATGTGTTTCTAATATTTTGCTATTACAGACAATACTATAATAAATATCTATGTCATTTCACCTATGGACATTTTTTAAATGAAATACTACAAATGGGCATTAAATGGTGAGCTAGACATTTTTTAATGTTGCTTTATTTATTTGTTAAGTAAATTTACTATACTTTACAAATACATCTGCCTATAATGGACATTTAGGCTTCCTCTAAGTTTTTGGTACTAAAAATAAACTTCAGAGAATGTAGGGATGTCTTTCTCATACCTTCAACACTACTCGAAATTATAAATTCATTTCTTTTCATTGCTCCTACAAGGAAATAAATAAGTAAAATATGTATTTTTTTCTGGCAGTTGTGCTTTCCTTTTAGTTTACTGAGAGAACCATTAGCCTTCTTCATACCAGAGATGTTGATTATAGGACTTTCAAATTTTCTTTATACTAATCCATACTTCTGATGCACTTCAGGGCCTAGAGTCTGGATTATAAATTTATTCTCTGATACCATCACTGTCATCATTATTGTCACCTTTATAAGTTTACTAAGAGCCTTATAAATAATATCAGGTGCTTAATTTTCATCTATCCTCCCAGCTCCCATTTTTCTGCCTTATTTTATTTGTCTTATTCTTTTCTAAGATTCTTAGTGCTTCTCATCTCTACACAAGTGCCTTAGTGAAAAGTGTGTGGATTTTAAAATAAAAGATCTAAAATTAAAACGTGGTTTTGCCACTTATTTGCTATGTGACCTTTGCTCTAAGCCTATAAAATGGGAACAATAATATCCACCTTGTGAGATTAGTACTGAATTACATATATAAAGATAAATATATGCATCACCTCCTACATGCCAGGTACTTGAAATCCATTATCTTTAATTCTTAGAGTAGCCACAAGGAGAATAAATAGGAAGGCAAATACAGCAGGATATGAGAGAATCAAGGAGATAGTATGAGATGGATGTGGTGTAGAAAGTTACCAAACAAAGTCACCTGGAATTTGAGTTGGAAGAAGTTGAGAGTGGTGGGTATTGGTAGGAAGTATTCAGGCAGAGCAAAAAAGCATGTATAAAGGCCCTGAGGTCAGAAGGAACTTAGTACACTCAAGGAATTGAAAGAAGTAGAGAAATTTAGGACCATGCAGAATAAGAGAGTGATAGCAGATGGGGCCAAAAATAGTTATTTTGGGAGGCCCTACTATTGGCCTAGCCAATTGCCTTATCCTTTTCTTTCTTGGTAAAAGAATCTCTAATTATATTGTCAGAAGACTGAAGCACCAAGCCCTATGTGATGAATTAAGAGTTTAAGCCAATCACAGTACTCTCATTGTCTTTTGCTAGTGACTGGGTTAAGAACGGTCATGGGGCCCAATTTGACCAATAAGATGTAAGGGGAGGTCTGCAGAAGAAGGCCTTTAGGAAACATTTTTCTCCCATTTAAAGGGACAGAGAGCTAGAAGGAGGAAACTCTATCTTTCCTTTCTGCTTTTGGAGATTGTTGTGTGTAGATGTAATTATTGGAGCAGTTCCTGCCATCTTTCTGCCGTGAGGAAGACACTTCTGACACACTGGGGATGGCAAGGGACTGAGCCCTTGAGGACATCATTGAGTGGCTGAGCCAACTCTGGAACTGCTTACCTCTGGACTAATTTACTGTAGTAGCTAATAAATATCCTTACTGATAAAGGCACTTTGAGTTGAATTTGCATTCCCTCCTTGCCAAAGGTATATTAACTGATTATAGTTATTGAAGGAATAAGATCACACAGGGCTTTGTAGATCATGTTAAGGATTTGGAATTTAATCCTAAGGGTTATAAGGAGCCATTAAAGCATTTTGAGCATGAGGTGACTTGAGATATTTGCTTTTCAAAAGGTCACTTCAGTTGCAATATGGATAACAGACTGGACAGTGGCAATAGTGGAGGCAAGTGCAACAGATAGCAACTATCGCAACAGGTCATGAAAGAGGACGCAATGATTTTAAGTAAGCGGTAGCTGGCCATGGGAATCGAAAAAAATGAAACAATTCAAGAACTACTGAGAGATACATTGGAGGCAGAATTGTGATTGTGATTGTGATTGATTTAGTGTGAATGAGGAAGAAAAGACATCAAGGATGCTTCCCAGGTGTCTAGACTGAGTCTACAAGTAGACGGTAGGGCCATTTACTAAGAGAAGGATAAACAACTGGAGGTGGAAGTGCTGGGAGGCTACTGTAACGAGTTCATTGTTGGACATGTTGAGCTGAAGGTGCCTGATCCAACCAGGTGGTTATGTCAAGTAGTTGGGCATTTGAGTGGCCTAGAGTATAGAGAAAGACTTGAAAGTCTTTGGAATCTAGATGGTAACAGAATCTATATGATTTTTGAGATTCTTCAGGAGGGAGGGAGGAATGAGAAGGGAAAAGATCCTAAGACAGAATCCTAGGATCTCCAGCACTTAGCTTTTCCATGGAGGAGAGTTCAGCAAAGGAGACTAAGAACAACCAGAAAGAAAGAAGGAAAGCCAAGGATGGTTTCTACAAGGAGGGAATGGTCAACACTGACAAATATAGTTGAGATGTCAAGCAAGAACAGGACTAAAAAGAGTCTATTGGATTTAGCCACAAGAAGGCCACTGGTGACATTGGTGATGAAGCAGTTTTTGGACAGATGGAGGTGGAGAGGCCGGTTCAGGACCGAGGTTGAACTGGATAAGGAGGGGATAATTAAGAAATGGAGACACAATAGGTAGAGAATCAGGTCAAGAAATTTGGCCTTAAAGAGGACACAAGGCAGGAGCTGAGGGACATGTGGGATCAAAGGAAGGTTTTTGTTTTTCTTTTCAAGTTGGGAATGGCTGTCTTTCCTTCACTTCTATATCCAATTCATTAGCAAGTCCTTTTAGATTTTTCTTCTAAATATATCCCAAACCTGTCCATCTCTCACCTTTTACCCAGATATCTTCCTGGCTCAAGCCATTATCTGCCTCACTTGGATTAATTCAGTAGCCTCCTAACTGGCTTCTCTGCTTCCATTTTTTTCTTGTTCCTGTCTTTTTGAAACCACACAGCAGTCAGAGTAAATCAAATCATGGCACCTGGAATAAATCCAAACTCTTAGTCCTGGCCTGTAAGATTGGATATGCTCGGGCTCATCTGCTACCTCATCTCATCCCATCTACCCCACTGGTCCCCTAGGCTCTAGCTCCACTCCGCTTCTTTCTGTTCTTTGCTCCTGCCTCACTCACCAGTCCCAGTGCCTAGCAAGCTTTTTCCTAAATCTTTGAATGGCTGACTCCTTTTCATTATTCATGAATGCTCAAATGTCACCTCATCCAAAAAGTCTTCTCTCACCTTATCCTCTCCCCCATCCTCACTCCTGTTTTATCTTATTCATGGCTCTTACCATCTGAAATGATCTTGTTCATTTATTTCTTGATTACTTATATCTTCTTATTAAAAGTAAAGTCTGGGGGAAACTGGGTGAAGTTTATGGGATTATTATGTTATTGTATTACGTATTATTGTATGTACATATTGCATCTGTGTATTATGTATTATTTCTTAATAATAAGCATATGAGTCTATAATTATCTCAAAATAAATGTTATTTTTTTTTAAAGTAAGTTCTGTGAGAACTAGGATTTTGTTTGCTTGTTAGGAACTGTGTCCCCATCACCAGAACATAGTATGGCATGCAGTGGGCACTAAATAAGTGTTATTAAATGCGTAAATTAATAAATGACATATTTAGTCATGTTTAAACGAGGATGGGGTTGGTTTACAAACAACATCAAGAGATCCCCAGCCGAAGAAACCGGGGGTCATAGAGTCTAGCATTAGAATCCCTGTCCTAGAGCTAGGATCAGAATCCAGATCTCCACTACCCCATGCTACCTCTGTATTAATGGAGTATGGATTGGACGACCGAAGTAGTGATTAGCACTGTCTTAGGGGACGCTCAGTCATAGAGCATCTTTGTAGCTTGTTATGATTACAACAGTGCAGGACCGATAGGACCATCACCTTCGAAGTCAGTGTTCTCTGATTCTCATAAAGATGACCAGGCCTGCACTTTCCTTAACTTGCCAGAGTCGGGAAGCAGGATGTGCGATAACCTAGAAGATTCACTGGCAGCCCAGGTCCTCCGCTCTGCAGTTGAGGTTTCAGGTTTCAATCCTCGCAGGACCACGAGACGTTACGGCGTGCACGGTGCGGCTGCCGCCTCCGCCTCGGCGCCTCAGGCAGAGCCCCGCGCGAGAGACGACTTCAGAGGCGCGGCCGCGCGCTCCGCCTGCACACACCGAGGTTGGGCCCCGCGGCAGAGGCTGCTCCCAGGCTGCGCTGGCTGGGCGCGCTGGAAGGCGGCGATCACAGCTGGGCCGGGACTTCCTTCCTCCACCGTAGGACAACAAAACAACCCGGCAGCAGGCGCTGAGCTCTTGGCAGCTCGCTGGGCGAGAGGCGCAGCGATGGGCTCGGTGCTGAGCAGCGATAGCGGCAAATCCGCGCCCGCCTCGGGCACCCCGCGGGCCTTGGAGCGCAGGAGGGACCCCGAGCTGCCCGTCACGTCCTTCGACTGCTCCGTGTGCCTCGAGGTGTTGCACCAGCCTGTCCGGACCCGCTGTGGCCACGTGTAAGTGCTAGGGGAGCTCGGTTTGCGCGCCCACCCCCGGGGAGGGGAGGGCGATGTTGAGCGAGCCGAAGGAATGGGGGGGGGGAGCGGTTCAGAAGCCAGCACTTGGGAGAAATTGCTGCGGGGAGAAACCTGGACCCGTCGAGTGCGGGCCACGGGAAAAATGCTCAGTTGGAAGGTGACACAGGATTTCAGGAGGAGAAAACAGCAACAAGCGGGCCCTGCAGTCCCGCTAGAACTGCCTCTTTCCGACGTCCAGGTGTGGAGCCCCTGGGATGGGGATCCCAGGCGCGGGACCCGCAGAGAGCCAGGGCTAGGGAGGGTGGGCTTGGCGGGAGAACCAGCATCCGCCTGAGTACAAGGCGGTGGGCTCCCGTGGAGCACAGTTATCCCGCTGAACTCGGTTAATGGAGCGGTGCTCCCCCCGCCGCCACCCCGTTCGGTTTTGTTTTGCTGGCTGTGTGCACGTGTTCCAGAATGCTCACTGAAGCTCGTCTCTTGAGCAAACAAGGATCTATGCAAGCTGTCCTTCCACCGCCACCTCCCTTTCCTAGTACAGACACTCAGAACCCTCAAGGATCAAGTCAAACTGGGACGTCCGAGTGACTTTCTGTAGTCGTTAGAGTTGAACAACCTGTCGGGGTGGGGTCTGGGGCTTGGACGTTCGCACCTAGCCGGTGAATGTAGCCGTTTAAAACCCAGCCACGAAGGGACAGGAGGTTGCAGACTACCTTCCTTACGTACCGCCTCCCCCAAATCGATAGAAAGTAGAGATAAAAATAACTGTCTTAACCACGAGCTGTTGAAAACTCGCCGTTAGCGCACGGCTGTGGTAGTTTCAAAGAACTGAAAAACAAAATCCCGATATAAATTGGCACGTCCTTAATGTGTGCTTGAAGAACTAGTACAGTAGTGGGAGTTGGATCTGTGAATTTGTGTTCTCTGTTTACTTAGAAGCTTTCTTTTCGTGAATGCATGGGTGTGTGACTGTGTGTGTGTGTGTGTGTGTGTGTGTGTGTGTAGGGGCGGGGTTGCATAGAGCAAGAGCGGAAGCCCCCTTAATGTCTTCTTTGGACGGCCGACTGACTCATTTGATGAAGCGCCAGGGCAATACCGCAATGGCTAGTAAGTGCTTGTGACTTACCGGGAGAAAAGAAGTACCGTATTATAAATGCAAATGCACAGAATGCTGTCAAAAGGACTTAGGTGGTCCTGGACATCTATAGCCTAGTGCCTGAGAAGCAGTTTTCACCACTGAAAAGCCCAGCAGTGAGCCAGGGAGAAAAATCTGCAGCCCACACAATGTTTTAAATAAAGAGTGTCCTGGGCATTATTTTGTGGCTGTATTTTCAGGGCCGCCTGCCGTTTCAGCTTTGTACTTTAAACTCAAGGCTGACTTACCCTCTGTCTGATTACCGATGATGTTTTTTCCCAGCTGTCCAGATGTAGCTCATTGACATAATATCCCAAGGCCAATATGGAAGCCCAGGTGTTGTTGTGTAACAGTATAAAATATATTGATTAGTTCAGGGCAGTAATAACCTCAGGATAACCACGTTTAAATTTAATCTGTTAGCATTCAAACGTTAAAGTTGCGCCAAAGATGCACAGCGGGCAGCAAGTTGAAGATTCCTTTTGTAGAACTGAATTGAGCAACTTTGCGATTGGAAATTGTTATCTGATTGGAAGTTGTGTTCCCCAGTTTGGATTTTGAATGCTATGACTTACTGTTTGCAGTGTTTTTGCTTCTGCTAAAGGATAATATAAATTTGCAAAGTGTTAAATCTTTTGTTTAATCTTTGTTAGAGTGAATAGGAACCCAGCAACTGGAAAAATAGTCATGAAGTAGCACAGCAAGGGCTGGACAAATTGCCTTCCCTCACTTTACTGTTCTTTGTTTCAACAAATCTATGTCCATTGTTCTGGCTGTGGGCAGAATTTCCATATTCCTCCTTTTGGCAAATTTACTTGAGCGCCTTCCACTTTGTAAATGTTAACCAGAGTCCCTTCTGCACTGGAGATGGTGAGGGCTGTAAACACCATTTGTACTTCCTAAATGAATTACTCTCTTCCATTGAAGTTAAATTGGAAAATGAAAAAATGCAAATGAAACCTCTCTGTATTATCTCATATTGAAGCTAATTTCCAAACTTGTTGATCTAGGTTTTTTATGCTAATTTCTGTTTATAAATCTATTTCAAATCAAGCAAATATAACAATGGCAACAGTACCTTGAAGGAATAGGTATATAGCACTTGATAAATTGTATTGTGATGCAGTAGAAACAGTGGGCTTGATAGAGAGCAGGATTTGAAATGCGACTGCCTTTAACCAGCTGTGTGCAGTCTCTTTGAATATCAATTTCTTCTTTTTTAAATAGGGTGAGTAATGGAATTTTTGTGAGTATTTGAAATGTAAAAGTAGCACATAATAAAGTCGCAAAACAGTGTCTATTTCCTTCAGAGTCATTCCACAAAGCAAAAACCCATGAATGGGATTATTTCTTATCTCTGTATTTCTTTTGGAATAAAACTGGGCCACAAAAGATAAATCTGTGACATTTCCAAGGTGTCCTAGATAGCCTTACTTTTGGCTTAGTTCTTTTTCCTTTGGTGGACTTGAAGAAGTTCCATTTTAATGTTCTGTCATTTCCAATTGACTTTATTCATATCCTTGTATCAGTTGTCAGAATAGATTTGGGGGAAAGGCTTCCTCCCTCGGCCTTATCTTCTGTTATTGGTGAGCTGGGAAAGAGGGAGAAGATAAGTTGAAGCTGTATAAATGAAACTGAAAGAGAGTGATTTACATTTAAAAGGAATATTCGAAGAAATTTGTTTTCTGATTAGATATGGTAGATACAGGGGAAGAAAAGTTGAAGACAGCTCCGGAAAGGTGACAGAGAGAAAGAAGGGCAGAGTTTAGCTCAGGAGGAAGTTAATGAACTCATGATTGGGCCTGTTGGATGTACAGTAGTCTGATAGGGAGATTCCAAATGGAAATATCCCAGTGGCACTGGGAGAGTGGGTTTGGGGAAAGAGGTCAGAGCTGGAGCTAGGGACTTAGCTAAAAGGATTAAGAGGTTGAAAATGGGCCCAAGTACACACTGGAGCATACATACTATAAGGTACAAAAAGCCACCTCTCCATTGAATTGGGTTGGATTAAGTTTCTCTAAATCACAGAATTTGCCTAATTTTTTAAATGAAACTTGAGGATAATCTTGAAGTGCTTTCAGGTAAATGGATTAAAACGTTCCATTTGTGGTCCAGTATGAGCAGTAGAGCCTGCGCCAAATTAGTGGTTCTCTAAGTAGAGTCTGCCAGTTTCCTGATGCATTTTAAATTGACCCAGGGAGCCTGCCTGGTGGTGCAACCGGTTAAGTGCACGCGCTCTGCTTTGGTGGCCCGGGATTCGCCGGTTCGGCTCCCGGGTGCGCACAGACGCACCTGTCACGCCATGCTGTGGCGCCATCCCATATAAAATAGAGGAAGATAGGCACAGATGTTAGCTCAGGGCTAATCTTCCTCACAAAAAAAAAAATAAAAATAAACTGACCTAGAAATATGCATCAGTGCTTTCATTCTTTTTTTTAATTTTAGTATATTTTATTTAAAAATTTTTTTATTGGGGACCAGCCCAGTGGCATAGCGGTTAAAGTGTGCGTGCTCGGCTTCGGCGGCCCAGGCTTCGTAGGTTTGGATTCCGGGCACACACCGATGTACCACTTGTCAAGCCATGCTATGGCGGAGTCCCATATAAAGTGGAGGAAGATGGGCACAGATGTTAACCCAGGGCCAGTCTTCCTCAGCAAAAAGAGGAGGATTGGCAACAGAGGTTAGCTCAGGGCCAATCTTCCTCACACAAAAAAATTTTTATTGTGGTGTAATTGACATGTAACGTTATATTAGCTTCAGATGTACAACATAATTATTTGATATTTATATGTATTGTGAAATGATCACCACAAAAAGTTTAGTTAACATCCGTCACAATACATAGTTACAAAAAATGTTTTTTCTTGTGATGAGAACTTTTAAGATCTACCCTCTTAGTAACTTGCAGATATGTAATACCTATTAGTTACTATAGTCACCATGCTGTACATTACATCCCCAGGACTTACTTACTTTATAAGTGAAAGTCTGTATCTTTTGACCCCCTTCACCCATTTTGCCCACCTCCCACAGTGCTTTCATTCTTACAGGAGATATGCGATCCCAAAGACTTCTTTTTTAACCTAACATTAAAGCTACTTATGCTATTATTTATTATAGAAATTTGTTACCTACTTATGTATTATCTATTAGTGAAGGTTCTCCAGAGAAACAACCAATAAGATATATATATGGAGAGAGAGAGAGAAAAATCAAATTAATTGATTTTAAGGAATTGGTTTACGTTATTGAGGATAATCTCTTCAAGTCAACTGTTACTTGTAGTCACATCTACAAAATACCTTCACAGCAACACCTAGATAAGAGTTTGATTAAATAACTGAGTACTATAACCTAGCCAAGTTGACACATAACACTAACCATCACATCTGGCAAACAAGTTTTTAAGGGTTATTAAAATCTGGTTATCAAAAACAAAAATTAGATCATTATCAGGCTTTGCTAGAAGACCCTTCAGAATTCTACTCAGAAGTCTGGCTGTCAGGCAACCATGGACACACCCACATGTTGCTCAAGCAGACAATGGGGAATCCACACAATTTTCTTACAATTAAAATTGTTGTTCATGGGCCGCCCCGTGGCTTAGCGGTTAAGTGCGTGCGCTCCGCTACTGGTGGCCCGGGTTCGGATCCGGGCGCGCACCGATGCACTGCTTGTCCGGCCATGCTGAGGCCGCGTCCCACATACAGCAAATAGAAGGATGTGCAGCTGTGACATACAACTATCTACTGGGGCTTTGGGGGAAAAATAAATAAATAAAATTATAAAATAAATAAATAAGTAAAGAATAAAATTGTTCATTTAGCTTCATCCTTATCATTTTGGT